TTTATTTTACTACAAAATGTGTCACACAATAATATGTTTAAATATCTTAATGCTTGCTTTGTTTACTTCTTTAGGAAATAGAAAAGTATTTTGGGGAGTTTTGGAATGTTGTACCAGACGAGGACAGAGATTGGTTAAGTGAGTCTCTGAATGATCGAGAATATGCAGTAGGTTTAAAGAAACTTAATGATAATACCAAGAAAAACCTGGAGTCAATGAAAAAGTCCATAGTGGAATTATTTACAGATATTAAGAACAATACAAAAGTTGAATTGCCTTCTTCGTGGGCTCTAATGGAGCAGTTATTGTATGAAGGAGGCTGGAAGGTTTTGTCCCTGAGTGAAATCTGGAAGATAAACTCATCTCTCCCTAATGAATACCAAATCAAAGGTGATGGGGAGATGTCAGATTTTTTAAAATGTTTCCATGACAATGGCCTTCTTTTGAACTTTGAAGAAGTGGAATTGCGGGAACATGTTATACTAGACATTCAGTGGTTTGCTAATGCTTTCAGCAAGGTGATTGCTGATGAAAACCACATCACTAAAGACTGTAAAAGAAAATTAATCAAAGAATGGAAATCATTCAACAAAACAGGAGAACTAAAAGATAAAGTGATAGATGCTTTCTGGAAAGATGAACCCTCTTACGTGAAACATAAAAGTGAAATTATGCCATACATGGAGAAACTTCAAATGCTGGTACCTTTAAAGTCCTCTTGGGCTGTTTCAGAAGGTGGCATGTCATGGTATGTCCCGTGTATGAACAAAAAGCAGTTTGAAGCTGACTTCCGTGAAGATAAATGGGAATGCTCATCCATTTTGTGCTTCAGATTCACTTCCTTTGCCATGTTTGTGTTCTACAGACTGGTAGCATACTGCATAAGTTCTCTTCGATGGAGTGTTGCTAAAGATGAAGACAATGAAGGAAGCCTGTGTCTTTATCAAACAGCAGCAGTGTTTGATCACAATTCACACACTGTTGTTGTTGGCATATGTAATGACGATATTCAATTGCAAGTGTTCAGAATCAAACCATTGACAGTAGACAAAGGAGTATCAAATGAAATTGGGGACTCCATTGAAAAAGCCATAGAAAAATTGACAGAAACATTTATTGACACAAAAATATTCCACAGAGGATACAAATGTCAATTCGTTATTTGTAACGAGAAAGATCTTTCTTTCACCCTTGCAAATGAACTGTCCAAAATCAAGGCTAAAGAAATTCAGTGCAAGTGTCAACTTCAAGAAAAACATGTGATAAATGTAGAAACCACTCTAGGATTCTGGGAAAAGGTAACTATATTAATCTTTATCCCCCCCCCGGCAAACAAAAACTTAAGGGTATTTAGGAATCATGTCCGTCTGTCTGTCTGTTGGTATATCTAAATATTTATCTTCAGCATATTATGTAAAAAAGTAAAAAAAAATGTGCCAATTACAAAAAAAATGAAATGACAATAGAAGTCAATACTTTACAATAAGACTAATTACAGGTGTGCCTAGATTTTAAAGCAAGATCATCTGTCAAATTTAAAATCACTTTCAGAAAAATGCTTATAACCCGAGAGTGTGTGATGATTTGGAGATATTTTAAGTCATTTGCTCATTAACATAGAAAATACATTCATGTCCATAATTTTTTAATGTAGGAATATTATTATTCATCAGTTTGGAGGGAAACGTAAGTTTCGCTATATTATTGGTATTTTGCAATTATAGTGAGATTCCACTTAATTTTCAGCCGTATTTGTCCTCAATTTCATAAGAAAACTGTTGATTTTACTCAGGTCACAACAATGGTACCCTTACATTTCAGGAATTTAATGAGATTTTCTGTTCATACCGAAATTAATTGTTACGTGAAGCATGATACTAATATATGAATAACAACTACTCTATATTGATATTCATGTGTATTTTATATTGGAAAGGAGATCAATGTCAAGCCAGCATTAACATTTTAAATATTAATTACAATAAATCTGATTAAGTCATCGTCAACGTCCCTTATTTAAATATCTCATAGTTGATTCAATACGCAAGAGCATATTCTTCGTAAAACAATTCTTTTTCAAAAGAAGTTGATGAATTAAGGGTATGTCTACTATGTCGGGTAAATCAACATATCACAAACAACGTGGACAATAGTGACCTTGTTAATTTTTAATGCAAATTGTCTCATGGTTTAGGTACCAAGGTTTTACAGAATCTGAGTAAAATATGTTTCTGTTCAAATAATTCTTTTTATTTCACCTTAGTCCTAATTTTCCAAATTAATATGATGTCACCAACTCGATGAAATTTACTGGTAGATTATAATCTTTTTCACGATAATTTCCCTTCTTTGGTCTCAAAGTGGACCCTTTGTGATGGTCACCATGGAATTTAAAAACAGTGACAAACCGTACTTGCAGTATGTTTTAGCTTGGCTCAATACATGTGGAATAATATTTATAGATTTTGATCTTTATTAATTATTATTACCGTGGTATGTATTTTAGCTAAGTTTGGTTCACTTTTCCTATTTTGTTTTAGAGAGAGGCGAGTGATTCAAGTACTCCTGTGGCCTCTGGACAAAACCTAGAAGGCCGATCTAGATTTGCAAAACTTGGCATGGCCACAAATGATGTGTTAAATAAGGCATACAGAGATATTCTAGAATCAGAAATTCCTGCATCTGATATTGAGAACAAGGTGAATTTATTATCAAACAAAAAGAGGATGAATATGAAGCTGAACTCAGATCAAGAAGATCTTTTGATTAAAGCAAAAAATTCTGGATACGAGGAATTTGATATTTCATTAACATACAAGTTGATAAGAAACATTTGTTCAACGATTCCTAAACCAACAAAAGGAAAATGGGGGGAAGAGCCAACAGCAGGTGAGGTGACAGTGGGTGACGATATCGAAAGAATAAGGTTTATACGAAATAGATTGACTGCACATGTGAGTTCAGCCTCCATCTCTCAGACAGAATTTGATGACACCTGGTCAACGATGTCAGATGTCTGCCAAAGACTAGAAACCTTCACTGGAAAGAAGTACTTGGATAGTCTTAAAGGGATTCAGAAACTTGCTCTAAAAGAGGAAGGGGAAGATGCTATAAAAGCTATCATAGAAAAGTTTGTCAAAGATCAACATGAACTAATGAAGACAGTCGTCTCAGATGTTCAAGAATTAAAGTCTCAAATGATGACGTTAAAACGAAATTGAAGACTGGCAGTAACCTTTCAGAAATAATAAATTTTACTCATATAACGTTTGCAGGACTAGTATAGTAAATAATGTATTCTGTAACACTTTGTTGAAGAACTCGAAAATCTGCAATGCACTCGAAAGTTTCATTGGTGAAAAGCGTTTGGATAAGCTTAATTATAATCATAAACTGGATTTGAGGAATTTGATATTTCATTTAGATACAAGTTGAAAAGAAACATTTGTTCAAAGATCCCTTAGCCAACAAAAGGAAAGTGGGGAGAAGAGCCTGCAGCAGGAGAGGTGACAGTGGGTGATGATATCGAGAGAATTAGGTCAATACGAAATAAATTGACTGTACACGTGAGCTCAACCTCCACCTCTCAGACAGAACCCAATAACAAAGTGGTCGACAATGTCAGATATCTGCCAAAGATTGGAAACCTTCACTGGGAAGAAATACTTGGATAACTTTAATAGCATATATAAACTGACCTTAAAAGATGATGATGCTATTTCAGCTATTTTAGAAAAAGTTAACTAGGAAAAACCTGAATTGTTGAAGAAAGTCATGTTAAATATGCAAAACTTAATGTCATATATGCAAGAAGTTAAGTTTAATTTGAAAAATAAAAAGCAAAATTGATGCTGACAGACGCTGCTGTGCAAATTAAACTTTTTATGCATCAAACATATGTAGAGTGACTTCAACTTTAAACAATTGAAAACAAGTGTTTGTCCGTTGTAAAGAAATATGTATATCATCATTTCTTTTATGAAAAAAATAAGAATCAGCAAAGTCTTTGAGCGAGCAGGAGGTGCAGTTTGTTTTCAAAAATGCATCCATATAATGATATTTGAATCATAATCCTCCTATCATTATCAAAATATGTTTTGTATTCCTTTTCGATAACTTTTCTGTTTATAAAGTTTCTCATCTTTAGATTCTTTAAACCGCACACTAAGGTTTTTTTAAGGATTAAACAGGATTTACTTCCCTCTGAATTTAAATGACGCAGTTGAATTGCTCCCATTTTTAAAATTGATGGTTAGCCTAAATTTGTTCTGGATGTGTAACTGTTAGGTAATGATGGACAAGGATTAACCTACCTAAAGCAATCCAATGGGATTGCAATAATCAAAGAACAATAAAAAAAATGTGAGAAACTGGACCTTTTGTATGTGCTTCATATCCAGCTATTACTAGTTATTAAAAAAATTGAAAGGAAGCTTTGCAAATATACCTACAACATATGGAAAGAAGGCTTAAAAGTATACACGCTATAACTTGCTCTAGTTAAAATACGATTGGAAATTGATACAATTTGTTTATCAATAAAAGTTACGAAAATACTGTAAATTACACCATTAAAATTAAACGCGTTACAAAGTTATCAAATTATAATTATTTATTATCCTGCAAGGAAAGAAAAATAGCTATTTTTAAATAAATCTATCACGTGACGCCGTCGCTACTTTTAGATTGATAAACACACGTGGCGTAAAGAAAACAAGGTAGGCCGTTTGAGATACTACTCACTTTTGACGTGGGTACTTAATGGTACTTGACCTTTTAATGTATTTCAGTATCACCAATCTTCTCCGTTATGATGCATATTAACCTTACATTAATAATTGTTGTCAAAATGCAACATACTTCGTTGTCTGTGATTTCCCGTGGACATGTGTTTCTATATATAAGCCTACTGTTTACGCACTTCCTTTATCAGTATTCATGAAAAGACTGAATTCTTAATTCCTAGATATTGTTTAATTCTTTTGTTATTACAACGACATCTATAGTACAATTTTGTGAAAAGTATTATTTTTTATTATACTTCATGTGTTTAAAACCTATGATCATTTTGTTTCAACCAAAATTCGCCGTTCATATAGCGTATATGACTTAAACAAATAAAGAACAAATCTAACATTTTTAACGAAACATGAGTTCGACATCCAACTGTCAGACAAAATTCGATGACAGTGGGCCTTTTACATATGAATTCTATTCAGTTGCTATTTTTATGGAATATCATCCGTAGTCAAGCAATGTTACCGTTGCTACGTTGGAGATGAAAGAATAATATTATAGAATTGTTAAAATTCAAGAAGGTTCAGAGACAATTAAATCAAATGTCCAAGAAGTAATGAAGGAGCTACAGATTAGGAGCTCGTTGAATATTGTGTAGAATATTAAAGAATTGGGCGTTTTACTTAATTTTATAAGAATGGAGAGTGCTGGGGAGTTCATTTTAAGTGGATGTGAATCCTATACTGGTTGTAACTATTTTAGAGTGAATGTGTATCCTATACTGCTTGTATCTATTTAAGAGTGAATGTGTATCCTATACTGGTTGTACCTATTTTAGAGTAAATGTATATCCTATACTGCTTGTACCTATTTTAGAGTGAATGTGAATCCTATACTACTTGTACTTATTTTAGAGTGAATGTGTATTCTATACTGCTTGTATCTATTTTAGAGTGAATGTGTATCCTATACAGCTTGTAATTATTTTAGAGAAGCTACATAGTTCAAATTTGTATGGAAGTGTTGGACGAGAAGGGAATATTTTCATTCACGATTGCAAATTTTTAAAAACACAGATTTGCGATCTAAGTTTGTTGCTTGTATTGATACGTTTTTTTTTATTTTGCTTGTGTATTGTAAACTTAATATCAAGTGGGTTCAAAGTATTACAAAATGTTACATGTTTGTTTGAATATACATGTATTTTATATTCTTATTAGTACACAGATTTGCGATCCTAAAGTCGTTGCTTGAGACAATATGTTTATTTTATTTTACTTATGTATTGTGTACTTAATATCAATATGTTTCAGTGAATTTACAGAGTGTTTTCATGTCGTCCTATGAAATAATACATCATTTGACATTATTGACAGAAATGAACGTCTTGACCAATTTCGTTGATATTTGTCTCATTTACTATTTGGATTAATACAGTTTTTACAGACAAATTATTTCAGTAAAAAAGTTTGAATAAACTATTCACAAAATTATGCCAAAAAAATGCTAAAAAATGCAATTCAAGCAAAATGGATTTATAAAACATGCTAGGTACCTCATTTCAAATCTGTAATTATCAAATCCAGCCTAACGACGTTGTTACTAAACCTTTATCTGAATTTTAATCGAAAAGGATATGTATCCGATGAAAATCCTGAGTATAACTAAAGAGATATTGCATTGTTGTCTCAAGTTATGGAATGTTTGTAATGTCCAGACATGATGACATCGTTTCAAAATGATAGCATTTTAAAATGAACTTTTTAGCTCACCTGAGCCGTAGAAAGTGAACTTTTCTTATCACATTTTGTCCTTCGTCCGTCCGTCTGTCTAGCTGTCTGTCCGTCTGTCTGTTGTCCGTCTGTAAACTTTTCTCATTTTCGACTTCTTTTCAAGAACCACTGGGCCAATTTTTACCAAACTTGATACAAAGCATCCTTGGGTAAAAGGAAATTTAAATTGTGAAAATGAAGGGCCAAGTCCCCTCATAAGGGGAGATAATCAAGAAAAGATAAAAATAGGGTGGGTCATTAAAAAATCTTCTCAAGAACCACAGGGCCAGTAAGGCTGAAACCTATATGGAGGCACCCTGAGATAGTGTAGATTCTATATTGATCAAATCATGACCCCCGGGGGTGGGGCGGGGCCATAATGGGGAATAAATTTTTACATAGAAATATATAGGAAAAATCTTTGAAAATCTTCTTTTCAAGAACCACTGGGTCAAAAAAGCTGAAACTCATGTGGAAGCATTGTGGGGTAGTGTAGATTCTAAATTGTTCAAATCATGATCCCAGGGGGTAGGGCAGGGCCACAATATGTATTACAAGGGGAAAATCTGGTAAAGAACAATATGACAAAAGATTCTCAGGTGAGCGATGTGGCCTAGTGGCCTCTTGTTTGTTATGTTCCTTTCAATGCTAGTCAAGTTGTGTGAATAAAATTGGAAAGGCCTAGTATAAACGATGCATATAGTACATTTCTTTTTTTTTCAATATTCATTACATTATGTTTTACATAATCATGAAAATGTATCATATGTTATGGGACACGCTGTATAATAGTATACACATCTAGTGATCAGTTTAGGGTTTAAATGCTGTAAACTTGTATTTTTTGAAAACGATGATGTATGATGGACAATGTCTGTTGATGTATCTGTATGTGAATCAATCCCGCACCTCAGATCTCCATATATTTTCCATATTCAAATTAAGGAGAAAATGCAAACGGGAGTATTTGGACTAATTTTCCGCATTCATTCCTTAGATTCAAATTTCCGGATTTTTTCCGTATTCAAAATATGGAGAAAATGTGGATGGGAGTATTTGGACTCTTTTTCCGTATTTTCTCCAGATTACCGCATTTCAATATATACAAAATATAGAGGTATTTACTTGGTTGATAAAATGCGGAAATACAAAAATCTGGAGAAAATAAGGAGTTCATCACATGGTTATAAAATGGCTTAAAACTGCTACATGATGCATACATACATAAATATTTATAAAACTATGAACAATATGCAAAATTATATACAATTATGATACAATTATATCATTATGAGAAAAACATATAAATGAATGAAAAATTTACACATGTTCATGAGCAATATATTCATTTTCAACATTTTATTGGGGAAAAAAAAAACAATTGACATAGCATTGAAAATTTACCAAAAAAGCAATTTTATGGACATTTTTTTTATCAATCTGGATCACATTTTCCATTTTCTACCTGCATCCCTGATTCATATTTCTAACAGTTCAGTTAAATCTCGGGTATGTGCTTTACACCCATCTGTCCTATAAAAATTTTCTTCAAACTTCTTTGTAATTTGTAAGGTCACTGCATGTTTCAATTCTTGCAGCAGCACTTGCAGTTGAATTGGCAAATCCTATCAATTAAAGAAAATACTTAAATAATGGTGCATTATTATTAATAAAATTTAAATTACTTAGTAATTGCTTTCATTCCTTTAATAATCTTTATATAAACACAAGTTTGGGTTATTCAATTTTATATCAATTTGTTTAAAATAATATAAATATTTGAAATAAAGACAATCATAGTTGACTCTTTTTAATTAAACAAATGATAAAAATAGCTCTTTATTCGAATTTTAATTGTAACTTTAGAACCATAGGAGATAGAGACTTTATGTTTGATATGCATACTCCACTAATTAAATGTTTTCAAATGACAACAAGGAAAATGATCGTGTGACCTTGTCTGTGATCTATGTGCTAAAAATTTCTTTTTTGAACTTTGTTGCCGCCGGACGCATAGTTTTTTTACAAACACATCTTGTTTAAAATGTAAATGAGATAAACAGCTTAAGAACTGCTTAAGGACATACGCAACGTACCTTACCTCTTGAAAGATTTCCAAGATATTCCAAATTTAAACTTATAATATAATTACATGTTCATTGTCAAAAAATCAACATGCCTTACCAGAGGTTTTGAAGATATCGAATTTTGAAAATTTTTGCATTATTCAAATGAAAATGTGCAAAAATTATAAAGCATAAATTTCAGATTTGTTTTGTTCAAAATTTTTTTTTAGAGGAGGTGTACAAATCCATTTTTAGACATTAAAAAAACTGCTCACAGATCCTTCATTTAGAGGAACTCTTCAACTCCAGGGGCTAAAACGGGCTAAAAGAAAAGTTATAATATTATAAATGTTAAAAAAAATTTGTATTGTTTTTTTTTAAATAAATGCTTAATTTTGACAAATTGTTTAAAGTTCAGAGTGCTAAGTGTATTCATTTTACTTGGTAAAAAAATTTTAAGTCCAGAGCTCGTTATTTTTTTCCAGATGAAAAATATTCTAAGTTAAGAGCTCAATATATTTCCAGATGAAAAATAAACTAAGTCCAATTCTCCGAATTGTATCCACATATTTTCCGTATTATTTCCGTAAATTTTCTGCTTCTCCATATTGTTAATTCTATCGTAATTTTTTCCACATTTTTTCCATATTTAAAATGAGAAAAAATGAGGAAAAATGCGGAAATCTTGAGATCTGAGGTGCAGGATAGTCAAATCAATACTGAATATTTTCTTACTTGTTTTAGACAAATTTTAGGGACTTAAGGGGGATGTATGGCCACTTTTAGTGCAGTGAGATCAAAATGTAAACATTTCTTCAAATGGCTAAAATACATTATATTTTGATCAAATTTTACGTCTTTTTGATAAAGATACAATAAATATGCATTACTGAATGCATGTTGTGCATATATAATCTATACTTTTGCAGAAAAATGCTTTTGATATGCTCCTTAGAAATGCGCAGCTACAAAATTCAGCAGAGCCTTAATAAATCCAAAAAGATATGCAAACTGTGCATTAATGTTCTCTCTACAACCATTTGTTGAGAAAGTGTCTAATTTTTGCACTTTTAAATGATAATTTTAAGTTCAAAACAAGGTACCATTGTCTTCAAAGAGAGTGTAAAGAACCATGAAAGTAATTCATGGATAGCAGCACGTGGTCTATTTTTAGCACAGAATCTTGTTTTCCAGACCTCTTCTTAATATGGAGCGGCATAACAATCTTTAAATGTAGAAGAGAATTACAGTTGAAAAATATTCCAAATAATATAGGAACACTTTTATAACAGGAAAGTGTGGCTTTAGTATTATTATCGAACAATTGTTATATAGTTTACGTATTGATATAAAAAAAAAAATTAAACTCTTTTATTCCAGGTAAGGAAAAATGAGCACCATCAAAGTTAAAAATTAAGAGTTTGTAAGTTTGCCACAGATAAATTATATTATCTATTAAAATTTAATTATCTACAATAAAACACAAAGAAATTAGACACATAAAATTGATACGAATGACCTTGTTTTAGTACCTACTAGTAAGAAGCGTTATCAAAAATTTTTGCGAAATATCTCTATATCTACAAAACCACAGTTCAGATTAGATAGCCAAACACAAGTTCTATAAATATCTTATGCTGAAGTTTTGATCCTTGTTTGTGATGTCAATCTGAAAATGACGTCATTATTCAGGTACTTTTGACGAAAAATGGTTGTCTCAATGGAACTCGTGGCACATGTATATCTTAGAAATGCCTTTGAAGTAGCGTATAAGAATTTGTTCATGTGAAGAAGTTTATTAAATGGTTTCCTATAATTTCAATCAATGATTGGATATCGTTTTAGTGAAGGAAGGCGGATGGTTAAACATGATACTTTTTATGTCCGGTGAAAGCAAGTTTGAAAAGGGATGTGTTTTTAATATCGTGTAATGGAATGTTAAAAAAATGAGTCGGGTCATTTCTAGGCAGTAGATCGGGGGAGAGGGCAACCAAAAATTTTTATAACAAATGGTATTAAAAGGCTAGTACATGTTCCATCACATACTTAGTAATGCAATTTTAAAAAATCTTAGACACTTTTTTGAAAAAAAAACAGGATTTTCGGGGGAGGGGGGGGGGGGGGGGGGGGGGGGGGGGAAGGACCCACTTTTTTTGCGATGATAGACATAGCATATATGCAATGGACCTTTCTTTGCAAACATTGTGCTCGCTTCTATATTTCATAGAAACAACTCATTATATTTTATCAAGATTCGCATGTTAAATGAGCGAGAGCTTACAACGTTGTCAACATAATGAGAAATGATGCGTTTTGTGTCCAAATATTACTCCATACAATGTGTGGGTCATTGCAAACATTCGAGCTATTTGTGTGAGGTGCCTAAAGGATATCCTATAACTGCCTATTTTTTCTATCTAACTGCTAAACAAAAAAGACATATGTACCAATTTTTTGAATGCAAGAAATGTAATTACAAATTGTTTTTCATGCACCACATATTGTAAAACATTTTCAAATCAAATGCCAAGCATCCTCCTTGCAGTGTCCCATTCGAAAAT